AGCATCTTCTTTGGCCTGACGGAGTTGTCTGAGTTTTGCAGTGAACCATGGTTTGTCATTGTTGTAAGTTAAATGAGTCCTGGTAGGAATGCACATGTCTTCACAAAAACTGATATAAGATGTTACAGTCTCTGTGAGCTCGTCCAGATCGGTGGCAGCAGCTTCAAAAACACTCCAATCGGTGAGGTCAAAACAAGCTTGTAAATCCTGCTCTGCTTCATTAGTCCATCTTTTTACAGTCCTTAATACAGGTTTAGCTGATTTCAGTTTCTGCCTTATTTCAGTGATATGCATTCTTTATTGTGGTGTAACAGTGATCCAATATATTACTGTCTCTGGTGGGACATGTGATGTGCTGTCTGTATTTTGGCAGTTCACGGGAGAGATTTGCTTTATTAAAAGCAAATCTCTCCTCTCACTTTCTTTCTGGACTCACTTTTAAAGTCCCTCCAGAGACAGGTTTATTTCTTTGTCTGTGAAAAGGCCTGTGAAAATGTGTCCCGCGGGTCCAAAAGACGGACAAGAGCCTGTCACTAGAGTTCAGAGTCAACCTGAATGATTCTGGACAGGAGTTTTTTCAGTCCGATCATCTACAGAGGAGAGGAGAGATCATTTTTTTTATTACTTTAACCTAAGTTTTCTCCTTGAGGTCATTTATAATAAGTTTTATAATGCTGAATCACATTGTAAGATTCATAATTCAATGGAGAAAGTTTTGAGTCCTGAAAGTCTCAGTAGATCGATGAAAATTAGATTCTTCATGATATGAACCCTTTAAAAAGCAGAAAATGCTTAATGTCAGAATCATGCAAAAGTTCATGCAATAAAATTCTGGTGATCACAGCATTTTTCAGAGTTTACATTTGTAGCATTACTGTAAAAGTTTTTCTTATTTCCGTATCTGAATTTGTATATTTAAAGGGGTGGTTCACTGTTTTTTTCTAGGCTTGATTGTGTTTATGGGGTGCAGTCTAACATGTGTTAATGCTTCGTTTAAAAAAAAAATAATCAAAACATTATCAGTGACATTGTGTTATTATGAATTTATGACTTTGAGGAATGCCACAAAACGGACATTATAATATTCCTAATTAACTTTCTCCATGATTTATTGTTGTTTATAAATCTGTAGGCCGTTTACTGCTGCTAAGCAATTTGGCACAATATTATAAAATTAAATGTCCAGATTTACCTCATCCAATCTGCCGTAATTATGTCTTATAATACAGCATGTGACCTATTTTATTACACTGTAAAAAAAAATATATATATATATATATACGGTATATATAAAATAATATTTGAGTTTATTTGAAAAGAAAACACTATTTCAGTCTTTCTTATTGAAGCCTGTTTCCACCAAAAAATAAGAAATAAAAATGATAGTTGCGACCTTTTAAATCACAATTCAGACGTTTTTCACAATTCAGATACAAACGCATATCACGAGATATAAACTCATATCGCAAGATATATATTGCAATTCTGAGAAAAAATTGTGAGATATAATCTTAGATACTCCGAAATGCGGGGAAAAAATCTGAATTTTGAGATAAAAACTTGCTATTACTTTATTTTATTCTGTGACAGAAATGGGCTTCCACACTTTCTACATTCACATTTCATGTTTAATTCAATGTATTGTTTCTTTGTAATTATTTGTCAAATTTACTAGAAATTTATAAGTGAAAATTGTAAATCCTATACCTTTATTTCCCCCAGTGTAAGTAGGTCTGAATGTCCAATGTTGGTTTTCTCTAAGTCTAGATAACTCACTCTAGTAGTGATATCTAACTTGTGCCTTCTAGGTGTGATAGGAGTCATATAATTGAACATGTCTCACTTATGTTTGATGATCTAACTCGAGACCATCCTCTTCTTCTGCAGTTGTGGGTGTGAACAATATCAACTGGCAGACGAACGCCATGTTTCGACCCTTCGTGGAGATCAATGCCATCGGCCCACACCTGGCTGACAAGAAACGCAAGTTTAGCACCAAAACCAAGAATAACAACTGGTCTCCAAAATACAACGAAACATTCCAGTAGTGAGTATTCATTTCATACAGGAACTGTCCCTGTCTATAGTTTATATTCATAACAGTTGGTGTTTACAGAAAAGTATAAAAAATATCATGTTTATGGAGATGGAACCATGTAATACAGTGTTTTTTTGGGATATGTACCAAAATATGGTACAAAAGCACCGCCCATGTTCAGTAACATGCACTAAACTTCAAGAGTTTGGGGTTGGTACGATTTTTTATGTTTTTGAATGTCTCTTCTGCTCACCAAGGCTGCATTTATTTGATCAAAAATACAGTAAAATACAATAAAAATTTGAAATATTATTGCAATTTAAAATAACAGTTTTCTATGTGAATATATTGTAAAATGTAATTTATTCCTGTGATCAAAGCTGAATTTTCAGCATCATTACTCCAGTCTTCAGTGTCACATGATCTTCAGAAATCAGTATAATATGCTGATTTGCTGCTCGAGAAACATTTCTGATTATTATTCAATGTTGAAAACAGTCGTGCTGCGTAATGTTTTTGTGGAATCCGTGATGGATAGAAAGAAAAGAACAGCATTTATTTGAAACAGAACTCTTATAAGTGTCTTTACTGTCAGTTTTGATCAAATTAATGCATCCTCACTAATAAAAGCACTTTTGAATGGTAGCGTATATCAAAGTATCACAGTATCACTTTCTGATACCATTGATTTATAAGAGTTGGATGTGAATCCCACAGGATTATATATTACTGAAAATGACTAGTAAATGGATAAAGAGTCGTGATTAGATAAGTGATCCCTATTATTCCCTCTGTAACCCCATTTCACTCAGTCATCGTGCCCTCGTTTCAAAAGTTTTACAAAAAGAAATGAATCACACTTTTGAAAGATCAATTTAAAAATCAGTAGCCTAATAAAAGAGATACTTTATTTTATATGGAGCTCATGGACCAGCTGAATACTCACTTTATCTCCTATTACTGGACCCTTTTGCTCGTGAAATAAATGAATCATGTCTGACTGTAAATAGAGCAATCGTCTCGTCTACTTCCGGGCTTTTCACCGGTGGCATTGACTGATCGCCTTTAAGCTGCACAAATGCACTTGAACAAGAGCACAGAAACCAAGCGTCCACATGAAGATTTACTTCTGACAGTCTCATTTTAGGCTTGTGAAGGAAAAGATCACTAAGAAAGGCTTCCCAGAACAGTTGCTCAACAAAAAGACCTGCATTTGGCTTTTCAATGGCGTCTGTAAAATGTGATGGAAGCCCGACACAAAACTCAGTGATACACTGAATTAACCTCTCTCTTAGAGCACACGTAAAATAGCATGAACTCAAAGCCCACCTTTGGATATTAAGGGCTTTTTAGCTTAATGGAGTCTTAAGCCGTTTTTGTGTGGAATCATAAAAGAGCTCCAGTGTGGCTTCAATGCAATTTCCGCGTCTGATAAACATTAATCTGACCGGGTTACAGAAACGCTGCTTTACAGACGCATCTGATCTGAGACATGCCTGTGGAAAAGACATTTACATTCATGCACTGGACAAACATCTTTGTGTATGTTGTGCTGGCTGATATGACAGTTGATGGAAGCCCGACACAAAACTCATACACTGAATTAACTTCTCTCTTAGAGCGCATGTAAAATAGCATGAGCTCAAAGCCCACCTTTGGATATTAAGGGCTTTTTAGCTTAATGGAGTCTTAAGCAGTTTTTGTGTGGAATCCTAAAAGAGCTCCAGTGTGGCTTCAATGCAATTTCCGCGTCTGATAAACATTAATCTGACCGGGTTACAGAAACGCTGTTTTACAGACGCATCTGATCTGAGACATGCCTGTGGAAAAGACATTTACATTCATGCACTGGACAAACATCTTTGTGTATGTTGTGCTGGCTGATATGACAGTCATCTCGGACTGAAAGCGGGAATGCAGCATCATGCAAAGGTTACTCATGTCATTATAGAGATGCTCTATTCACAGTCAGCCATGAATTTGAATATGAATTTGATACACAAACAAAAGTGGTCAATAATAGGGGGATAAAATTAGTACTATTCAGCCTGAGTCCACCAGCTTTACGGTGATACACTGAATTAACCTCTCTCTTAGAGCACACGTAAAATAGCATGAACTCAAAGCCCACCTTTGGATATTAAGGGCTTTTTAGCTTAATGGAGTCTTAAGCCGTTTTTGTGTGGAATCATAAAAGAGCTCCAGTGTGGCTTCAATGCAATTTCCGCGTCTGATAAACATTAATCTGACCGGGTTACAGAAACGCTGCTTTACAGACGCATCTGATCTGAGACATGCCTGTGGAAAAGACATTTACATTCATGCACTGGACAAACATCTTTGTGTATGTTGTGCTGGCTGATATGACAGTCATCTCGGACTGAAAGCGGGAATGCAGCATCATGCAAAGGTTACTCATGTCATTATAGAGATGCTCTATTCACAGTCAGCCATGAATTTGAATATGAATTTGATACACAAACAAAAGTGGTCAATAATAGGGGGATAAAATTAGTACTATTCAGCCTGAGTCCACCAGCTTTACGTACAATAAAATACAGTCGCTTTTGAAGCTGATTTGACTGGAGTCTTCATCTCTGGTGAAGGTGCATTCATTTTATTCATGTGTTAAAATGCCTGGACGTCTATCAGGCAACACGTTCTGGAGGGTGTAAATCTCACAATTATACAGTAGGTTATAATTCCTACATACAAATATGTGAATTATTTAAACATTTAAAGGGGTCATATGACGTTGCTAAAAAAGAACATTATTTTGTGTATTTGGTGTATCCAGTGCGTTGTGATTGGCCGAATACCTGAAGCGTGTGACGGAAATGTTACGCCCCTCACCATACTGTGATGCCGTGTGCCGTAGCGATTAGACAAAACCCATTATAAACGAGGCATTTGTTGCATCCAGTGGGGACATAATTACTGATTATAATGACTTATAAACAAAGTAGTTTCGCTTTCACAACGAAACACACAGTGTCTCCACGACATGGCGGCGGCAACAATACTACAGCGAGAATCAAAGTTACGCCTTCTTTCTTTGCGTGAACATTTGGGCGGTGTTATGCAAATCTTCCCACATAGTGACGTAGACATGTGGGGGCGTGGACGAGTCTTAACTTTTATAAAGAAAATCTCTTTGGGTTTGAGACTTTAGTCTTTGACTTTTAGTCTTCAGGGATCTTCTCTATTCACGAACAGCTTGTAACACTCCAAAGAGAAAGGAAAACTTGAAATATGAGGTATTCGACCAATCACAACGCACTGGATAGCTGGCCAATCAGAGCACACCTTGCTTTTCAGACCGATGAGCTTTGTAAAAATCGACGCATTTCAGAAAGGCGGGGCATAGAGGAGAAACAATAATGTACAGTATGTGGAAAATAATGTGTTTTTTTAACCTTAAACCGCATAAACACATATCATTACACCAAATACACAAAATAATGTTATTTTTTAGCAACGTCATATGACCCCTTTAACTAATGTATTTAACTAAAGTAACAAGTGATTATACATACTTATATATGTATAATGTTTAAGTCCTACATAATTTTTAAACAAAAGTTTATATTTGAATGTTTATTTCAGTTTAATATCTTACCCCATAGAGTGCATTATGTGTCGTTTTGTTTGTTTTTACAAACCAAAGGATTAGTTGAAATATAATCTGTTTTAAACCAGGAATGTTGGTTTAATACTTCATCAAAAAGTCACATTTGATGTGAACTAACTTAAGTGGTGTTATTGTGCCTTCTCCGTCCAGCGTGCTGAGTAATGAACACGGCCCAGAGGCCTACGAGCTTCACATCTCCGTGAAGGACTACTGCTTCGCCCGAGAGGACCGGATCATCGGCATGACGGTCCTGCAGCTCAGAGAACTGGCCGAGAAGGGCAGCTTGAATGCCTGCTATCCACTCGCCAAGAGCGTAAACATGGACGAAACTGGCCTGACCATCATGAGAATACTCACGCAAAGGACCAACGACGAAGTGGCCAAAGAGTTTGTACGTCTCAAATCAGACACGCGGTCAGCCGAGGAAGTGTCGTAGAGAAGCGCGGTTGTGTTTGTTTTCGTGCATGTGTGTAAAACATCTGTTGGAATGTTCATTTTAAACTACAAGTACGTACAAAAGTGTTTACCTACCGTATGCGTTCTATCAAATATTATATTCTACGAAGTTATGTTCAAGAGACAGTTTTGTATGACGATTAGTCTTTTTGAACAGATGTCGTATTTGTTCAGATAAAGTGCCAAACCTGATGAGTTAAAAAAAAAAACACACAAAAAAAAAAACAGACGCATATTAATTATTGGTGAAGTTGGTATCTTTCTAAATTTGCTCGATTCTTTTTGTCCGGTGTATATCATCCTCTCTTTAAGTGTGTAGCCGTTTTGTTTGTCTTTGTTCTCGCACCGTTTTTGTTTTGTTTTTTTTGCATTTTTCACACAGCACTGGTGGTGCATGTCTCGTTTTCTTGGTGATGTCTCTCTCCCATGTGTTCGCAGTGACTGGGCATCAGCTCAGACCCGCTCCCCTCCAACGTTTTGTATTTGAGTCGACTTTAAAAAGAGACCATTTTTTTTAAATGGCGATGACTGCTACGAATCTCTTCATAAGTGTTTGTAATTTTATAGTCGTTGACAACAATGAAACCACCTCGAGTGCTGCCGGGCAGGAGGGGTGGGATGTTCTTTTCGTTTATTTTTTGTAGGTTTCGTTACTTTACGTTTCCTTTTTTACCATAGGCTTTCAGCCTTTCTGAATTATCACTGTGAACATGGGCTCTGAAAGGCAAGCTTACATCACATTTGTTGACTGTTTGATATCATCTTTTTATTTTTTCAAACAATTTTGATTCTAAAAAAAAAAAAGAAAAACTGCCAAAGTTATATGAAAATGTTCATACAAAAGCAATCCATGATCTGTATGGAAATCAGTATATACTATGTACACGTGCTACATAATGTACATTATGTTTCTAGTTTTGCTGAATCATTTCTGATTGTCGTTGGGCCGGTTTTGAGTTTATTTCGGGATGGTTTCTGTGAAGTTGTTTTATCTGGTATGAACGCGGTAAATGTTGCTTTACAGAAGAGTCACATCGATCGCCGTCATCTCATTTATTTTTGTTTACAGAGGAAAAAGTTTAACATTTGGTATTTATGCAACATTCCTATGTATTGCACTGATGGCAAATTGTATGTCATGTAAATATATTTAGTGAGAAATTGTACTGAAGGTCTCATTGTTTGCGTTTTTAAGGAAAGCGACTTCTTCGACTCTCTATCAGCATTGAACAATGGTTTAACATTCAGGGTTAACAGAGAAAATGATGAGGTTAATTTCACAAACACATGTCCAGGTCCCCCCAAATTTTAAATAAGAAATTGCATTGACATTACTTTCTACACGCTGATTTTTTAATCAACAATGAAAGCAAAGTACCTCTGCAAAAAAAGAAAATACATATAGGAGATACATACAAACTATAATTTATAATTTCTTTATGATTTTGGAGTGATTTATTAGACGTTATTGGCTGATCCAGTTGTTCGGTATTTTGAATGGCCATGAGCAACTGGATGACGGTCTTTGTTGCTGGTTTCAAAACAGTGACGGATCTGCTCACAGTATGTGCTAACAGGCTCTAGATGTGACCGGCACACATAAGATGACAGTATGTTTTGAGACAGGTTTATCAGTTTTCAGCAGTGTTTGAAAAGCCACTGGTGAACAGGAAAACCCAGTACATCTGCATTCAAAGTAATCCATGTCGCTCAACAGATGGTAAGACCGCAGATATAAATATATCGATTATGCATTGACGACTATTAGCAAGTTCAACGGTCAAATGTGAGTGAACTGACAGATGTGGCATGCTACAGACAGCATCTGTTCCCAACATAAGACAATTCAGCTTCATGCAGATTATATACCATTAAAGAGAAAATTGTTCAAATGTTCTTGTACTGCATGATATGATCAGAGTGCAACATGATTAAGCTTCCCAATTTTAAATTTTGATTCGCAGTCATACTATTAGCTTCCATAAATTAATCCCTAAAGCATCCATAATATGTGTAATTTTATTTTATAAATAAATTTTCCATTTTATAGTTAAAAAAAACTTAAGTAAACTTTTGTAACATAACATATATATATATATATATATATATGATGATTATTATTATTATTAAACTAAATTCATATTTTAGAGCCCAATTTTTTAATGTTAGCATTTTGAATTACGCATTTCATTTTGTTGTGTTTTAGGGTTGAAGGAAACGTCCATAAATTTAATGGAAAATGCACGGGTAATTTCAATTGTAGGAAGTAATTGTAAATGGAAATTATAAATTGCATTATGAAAATTTACCAGCAACAATCAAAAACCAAAGAATATAATGAATTGTAATGTAAATGGCAGAAACTACATTTTGTACATTATAAACATCAAACGTTTACCTTTCCAAGATGGCGGTGATGTAGACTCCTAAAATCCAGCTCCAGAGGTCTGAAGTTCTCAACCCTGAGGGTGTGTGTAATATAAGTTATGAAAAATCTTGAAACGGGGCGGATATGATGACATGAGACCGTACAGACGGAGATAGACTCGAGATCCTCACAGCCTATGCATGGACACATTTATCATAACTTGTGCAGATCCAGATGAACATTAAATTGTTCAGAGTTTGCTCTTTTAAAGCTCATGGCTTCTCATGTTTCAAATATCAACTGTCTGAGACAATAGTAAATACTTAATAATAATACATAATTTTTTTGGGAGAAACATCTGAAACAAACTTCAGCCATAAATGAAAATTGACTCATCCTCAGGCCATCCAAGATGTAAATGGATGCTCTGCAGTGAATGGGTGCCGTCAGAATGAGAGTCTAAACAGCTGATAAAAATATCACAATAATCCACAAGTAATCCACACCACTCCAGTCCATCAGTTAATGTCTTGTGAAGACGAAAGCTGTGTGTTTGTAAAAAACTAATTCATCATTAAGACGCTTTAACTTCAAACCATTGCTTCAAAATATATAATCCATAATAGCACTTCCTCCAGTGAAAAAGTCCATCTCCTGTTGTTCTGTTTGTTTAGAGCTGTTTTGGACTCTTTTGGCTTGTAAACGGTGCTTGATCTGTGCAGATTTCTCTCCTCATTCAGACCAGACAACTTTTCACTGGAGGAAGCGTTATTATGGATTATGGACTTGTATTTTAGCCGGAAGCAACGGTTTGAAGTTAAAAACGTCTTAAAGACACAGATTGTGCATTACTTCCATTACTTGTGGATTATTGTGATGTTTTTATCAGCTGTTTGGACATTCTGACGGCACCCATTCACTGCAGAGCATCCATTGCTGAGCAAGTGATACAATGCTACATTTCTCCAAATCTGATGAAGAAACAAACTCATCTACAATGAACAAGCAAACTCATCCTTTTCTTTCCCATGAGGTGTGATAAAAGCATTAATGTTGGCTTGCAGAAATACACAGCTCTCTTTCCGATGCTCATATTATTTTGTCTTAGGACAGAAGACAAAAGCGGGTTTCAATGAAGTCTTTGGTCTTTTCAGTGATATTAAGGCTGAGCTGCTCTGGAGGCTTTCCTGGATCAGCCACTAGGAGATTTGCCTCAGAAAACAGACACAAAGCTCTCTAATTCAGGAAGCGTCTTGGGCAAGAAACGCTCCGGTGTCATTGGTCTCGCAGCGATTCTCAGACGGCTGTTTGTCCTTATTGGACATGTCTCGAGGAAGTGAGCTGTCCTGCTTCATCAAGCACAGAGAAACATACTGTACATACACAAGCAGCCAAAAGACATTAACCTTCAACCCACATTCTCGCGCCAGCTCATAATAATCTGCTCATAAACACAAGGAGAAAAAGACAGAAAGAGATGCATTACCAAGAGTAAGGAGAGGACTTAATGTCGGTTGCGACCCGAAGCTCACGTTCACATTACAGAAGTCTTTTAGCATCTGTTCAAATGACAAGGACTTTAAATGTCGTTTCACTTTCATCTGTCCGGGTGTGTCGACATTCATTTGACAGTTCAATGAGATGTGTTTGCGAACGCCACGCAGCATATTTATGGATCATAATAATTGCTTTCAAGGACAGGAACGGTCACACCTCTGAATATGTTTGAGTTTATCATTACATCAGGAAATAAAGGTCTCGTCTTCACAGAGGACACGATGACCACATTCACACAGCAAAGTTTAAGGAGTTACAAATGCATTTAAATACAGGAGTGAATCTCTTTAATGAATAAAACGTTGCCAGATTCACTTCCATCTGTTTCGGATAAAACTGAACGTGTTTTTAGTGCTCTCACTGAACATTTCACTTTAAAGTAGTGCTGTCAAACGATTAATCACGTTTAATCCAAAATAAAAGTTTTTGTTTACATAATATATTTATGTGCACTGTGTTTATTTATTATGTATATATAAATACACACACATTCAGTATATATTTTGAAAATATTAACATGTATATACATTTATATTATTATATTTTACATTATATATAAATATATTTAATATATAAACATAACATATTTTTCTTAAATATATACATGCATGTGTTTGTATTTATATATACATAATAAATGTACACACATACACACACATATTATGTAAACCAAATCTTTTATTTTGGATGCGATTAATCGCGATTAATCATTTGACAGCACTACTTTAAAGTCTAAAAAATTTGCACGAAGCAATGTAATATTTTGCAGAAATGTCACCATAAGTATGTTTTTCAATAAGCCTGGGTTGGAGAAATATGCATACAACGAAAATAAAATGTTTTATGAAAACAAGTTGTCATGATCTATAATAAAAAAAAAAGGTTTAGTTAATTATTCTTTAGATTTGCAGGAAAATTCAACTGTAGTCTATGAAGTATTTCTAACACATAAAACACACATAACATAAAAGTGCATAACAATAATAAAATAAAAATGAAAATATTATATAATAATATACAAATATGAACATTAAGTTTGAGAAATTATGCAAGCACATTTGTTTGAGAAATTATGGTCACCTTATTTTTAACCATTTTCCTTATTTTCTTTACTTTCTCATGATTTCCTTTTTTTTTACAGTAATGAGAATTTGAGGATAAAACTGGGGGGAAATACTGTCATAAGAATAGTATAATGCAAAAATCCTAACAATCCTAAAAATAGGATTCGTTTTCTATTTTTCCTCATTCTGATTTTGTGGTGTTCCTGTAGCTCAAATAGTAGAGTATGATGCTTGCAGCATTAAAGGGTTAGTTCAACCCAAAATGTAAGACTTTCGTTCATCATCGGAACACAAATGAAGATTTTTTTGATGACAGAATGCTGTCAGATTTCCTTCCATTGACTGCCTTTGTAACTACCACTTTGATGCTTCAAAAACTTCATAGAGATCGGAAAACTAATCCATATGAATCGAGCGGTTTAGTTCAAATTTTCTGAAGAGAATCGATCGCTTGTTATGGTCGAACAGGTTTGTTTTAGGCTTTTACTCGCATGTAAACATTGATCAGCGAATATAAGCAGCAGCTCAACCTAACCTGAATAACGCACAAGAACAAACCTCTTCCGGAAGCTCAAACGTTGCGTAACCAATGAGGTTCATACACGTGTGTCACGCAGAACGTTTGACACCCTTTAAAGTCAAGGGTTCGATTCCCAGGAAATGCCTGAACTGATAAAATGCGTATCTTGAATGCAATGTAAGTTGCTTTGGATGCTTTGGATGCATGAATATAAATGTTTAAAAATGTACATGGATATTTCTTTGTA